CCTCCCCCAGCCCCAGGGGTCCAAACCCAGCCCCACCCACCAGTCCCAGGGGTCCTGCCCCCAGCCTCAGGGGTCCAACCCCCAGCACCTCTCCCACAGTCCCAGGGGTCCAGCCCCGCCCCTCCCCCAGTTGCGGGGTTCAGCCCAGCTGGCCCAGCTACCTTCTCTCTCAGAACCCAGGGGTCCTATCCTCTAGCCCCTCCTCTTTCTCCTCCTCGCAGACAGCCGTGACCTGCTCAGGGATAAATGGAGATTTCAGCTGGGGGACTGACAGGCACTAACCAGAAATGTTGTCACCACTGCCGGCTGCTGAGACCCAGGGGGCTGCGAGGCCGGGACCACAGCGTGCAGACCCACGGACAGGACACACGTGGACAGACTCCAGGACACACACGCGTAATGTGACTCAACACGCCAGGACACACAGTGATCCCATTAAACGCATGCACAGAACTCAGGGCCAGCTACGCGACAGCTTAACCCCAGTCACACTCCAGCAGTGGGGCTCAGCCCCCTGCCTGCAGACACGCTCCTGCGCGCACACGCACAGACGCGTGTGCTGAGCTTCCGGCTCATTCCAAGAGACTTTGGGGACAGCCTAAGTAGGGCAAGGGGTCTCCTCAGACCCCCACTCTGAGCTGGCCCTCAGTCCTGGGTCCCTCTGCCTCTGCCCTCCTCCTGGCCTCCCTCCCTCCCTCTCCTGCTCTCAGCCTTCCTGCCCCTGGCCTGCCCTGGCAGCCACCCTGCCGCACCCCTAAACTCTCCTCTCCCTTCTCTCCTTCCCGGGGGTCTCCCCTCAGCGTCTCTCTCTCCAGCTCTCTAAGATTCTTCTCAGCCTCTCACTCTGCATCTGTCTGTCTGTCTGTCTGTCTGTTGGTTTCCCGGTCTCTTTCTCCACCCTTTTCTGAATTTGTCTTTGTCCATTTCTTTGCACCTCTGTGGCAGGTCGCGAGCGTCTGGGTCTCTCTAGTGAGACGTTCTCAGTGTGTCTCTCTGGTGCTTGCTTAGTGTCCCTCTCTCCGGGTCTTATCTCATCTCTGAGTCTTTGGATGTCTCTCTCCATCTCTGTCTCTCTCTGTGTAACTCTAGGCTTTCTGGTCTCCAAGTTTCTGTGTGTGTGTCTCTGTATCTCTGCAGCTCTCCCATCTCTGTCCCTCTCTCTCACTGTCTGTCCCTCCCTCTATCTCCCTGTCTCTGTCTCTCTGTCCATCCATCTCTCTCCCTCCCAGCCCCTCCCTCCCTCCCCCTCTCTCCCTCTCTGTCTCACTCTTCGCCTCTCTCTTTTCTCTCTCAAGTGTTTTCAATTTTATTCTGAGTGGAATTAACTACCCCTGATGTCAAATTGCCGCCGAAATCGATAATAATATCTTTACAAAAGAGGATATTCTTCTCTCGGAGAACGGCCTCTGAAAAATGGAAAATTTAGTCGAAATTGATTCATTACTTGACACTTTATAGAACGGCTGCGTATTGATCGCACCTGTCATGTCCCATCTCCCCTAATCGAAGCTGAAGGCCGGCTCCGATGCCTGCTATTTTTCATAATTCCACCGCAGCCGACAGCTCCACAAACACCGCTCGCTCAGCCTCCGCCTCCCGCGCTGCCGCCGCGCGCGCCCTCGGCCTGGCCCTGGCCTCCCGGCCGCGCCTGCCCCTGCCCCTCCGTCCATCTGTCCACGTTGGGGGCCTCGCTCTGTCTGTCCTCCCCTCACTTGGGCTCTCTGCCCCCCCACCCGCTGTCTTGCCTGTCTGCCTCCTCTCTACCCCAAGCCGAAGTCTGTCTGTCCTTCCGTGGGGGCGTCCCTCCCTGCCCGCCTGTGCCTCCGACTCCCCACCGGTTGTCTGTCTGTCTTTCCTCCCCAACTGCCAGCTTCCTCTCTGACACCTCCCAGGACACCCTTCTGTGCCCGATCAGTCCTGGGTGGGGTGGGGGCGACTTGAGGGGGGCGTGAGGATGCTGTCTGTCTGCCACCGGAGCAGACCTGGTTCCCCAGTTTCCTCGGTCGCCCACAGCCACTCCACGCCCGGGCCTGGCTCCAGTGCGGCTCCCCACCTCCCTTTAGCCCCTCCTCACATAGCTGGGGCTCCCCAAGTCCCTCTTTTCTGCGTCCCTCCTTGCTCCCTTTACCATCTCCCCCTCCCTCTCCTGCCTCCTCCCTAGACCCCCTTTGCCCTCTGGGAGCCTCGAGCCCCCCAGGGACAGGAGAGGTCATTGGACTGCTCCCGAGGACACACAGATAGGGTGGGTGGGCTCTGCTTTGGGGAGAAGGGGGAGCATGAGCCATAGCTGATGCGGACTCCGCTTGGTCAGGCGCGGTGGTCACGCAACCAGCTCCCGGTCTGACAGTGGGGCTAGGGCAGTGGGGTGTGTGCAGTCGGGTAGTGTAGTCTGGTGGTTAGGAACACAGCCCACCCCACCATGGCCAGGCTGCCTGGGCTTGAGGCCCACTTCCAAATTAGCTGCCTAATAGTTGCAGTGTAACTGCAACTGTGCCTCAGTTTCCTCATCAGTTAAACCAGTAATGGCCCCTCGGTCACAGGGCGGTGAGAATGTGAGTTCCGCTGTGTGGAGCGAAGGCTATGGAAGTGTTCATCACACGGCTATTGTAACTGCTGGACCCACCCCGCCAGTTCAACTTCAGCCCCCTCCTCCTCACCCCCACCCCTGCGCTAGTGGTTAGGGAGGGAGTGGGCTAGGACGAGGGAGTCACCTTACCTGCCTCACCTTCTGTCACCTTTAGTGTTGCTAGCTGGACCTGGGGGCATCTTTCAAGGTATAAAAAGCAATTTAATAGGGGGGACATTGGCCTTCACAGAGGGGTCCTCCTACTTCTTGGGGGCTTTAAGAGTCTAATGGATATTACAGACCCCAGAGGTGTTCTCTCTCCTTCATGGGTAATAAATTCAGTCCACTGGGTGTTACAGGCTGGCGAGGATGTACCTCCCTCTCTCTCCCTCTCTCCCTCTCTCTCCCTCTCTCTCTTCCTCTCTCTCTCTCTCTCTCCTAGGGGGCATTAAACACCCTGAGGGTGTCCTCTCTCAGTGGGGTATTAACTACAGTCTTCTGCTGCTGCAGCCTCCCTGGGGATGTTAACTACAGCTTAA